TCAAGATGGAAGTAAGCTCGGCAACTATGAAATAAGAGATTTCTCTAAACCAAACTCCGAGGCAATCTCCTTTGATTCCGGTGAAAAGGTGCTAAGCTTTCGTTCGTCATGTGATGGACATCACAACAAAATTCAAGCTAACGAGTGATGAAAACTCACCTGCAAATCGCTAAAAAAAATGGTATATATACTCTACATTTGGCCCCTGAATCTTCCAGTGAAGCCAATGACGGTTGGTCAAGAGGAATCCGCCGTCGTTTTCTGGTGGAACCGACCTTCGAATCTCCTCACCGCACACTTTCACTCGAAATGGAAGTAAGCTCAACAATTATGAAACAAGAGATTTCTTGAAACCCAACTTTTCTTCGCATATATTGTTGTCAAGGCAGACCAGTCTTTTTCAATATCACTTTCTGTATTAGGATTTTTTGATGAAGCGAAGTTGTATTTACTATTGTAATCAACTATATTACTTATTTTCGCATTATAAGTAGTTTTTTACTACCAGTAGATGACATTCATGAGATGTATGCATAGGACGAAAATGAAAACAATTAATGAAATAGCTTATTATAGAAAATACGACTTTGTTTTATCAACAATCACACTATTTGTGTTATGTGGGAGAGGCCTGATCTTCCTCGAAATGTACGTATTCCCTGTGATCCTGTACATAAGTGCATCTATCAATCTTTCATCACCTAATAATACTTAGGTTGACTGGAACTCTTACCCCACCACTTTGTCACACTGTCATGGATGGATGCCAATGTGTCACAGGGCAGATGTGATTTTCGATCAAGCATTTTTCACCCTAAATCACCCTTAGCCAGCTGGAACTGCTAAGCCCTTATTTAAGCATCCTTCATATTTTGAAATATTCTCAACCGAATAGAACTCATATCGTCGATTATAATGTAAAAAAGACATGTTTTCCGCTTCAACCCTCCCAATCCATCATGTGAGTAAAGTTTGGTCCTGTTTGCCTTCAAGCTCGTATGCATGTACGAAGAAAACGTGGGATTTTGAAGTATCTCTTGTGATATAATGATACTTTAAGACTCCCATTTCGTATGAAAGAGATTCGTAGATCAATCTCGCCAGAAGACGTCAGCTGATTCGCGTTTTACTGCAGTCGTTTAGCCTTTCGTGTAGCAAGGTCAGGCGAAAATAAAGAAGATCACGAGGCTTGTGGGAAAGAATCAACTACCTGACCAACTACTCTCTTGTTCGCTTTTAGTTTTCAATGAAAAGTTGCTGATTGAGAAACGATGTCTTGCACCCATTCTCGGCAAACCTCAGTTTCGAAGACATCACGTTGTGCAACACTTGGTACATCGTTCTATTTGCTGTTTGGTCTGCTCTCTCTCTCTCTCTCTCGCGCGCGACTTTGTTCTCCGACATCGCTTGATCCCCCGCAACACTGAAGTCCTGACTGTCAAGTTGGAGTTCTGCTCGACTCTGAGCTGAGTTTGAGTCCCATGAGGTTGCTTTCACGATTCACTCGGGCAGAATTGAGACAATAGTCCAACGTTGGGATAAAGTCGACTGGCTCTAACTTCTTTTCAAAGCGCCGCCAGCCATTCAGCAGCCCAAGGAGTAAATATTCTCGGATATTCGGCCTCAGACGATGAAGGTCTGACATGCTCGAGCTTGAACAGCTATTATTCAAGATATACTGATACTTTTGAAAGTTATTTTATGTGAATATCAGTTGCATGATTGAATTAAATGACAAATTACAAGTCCCACTTTTAACGCCGATTAAATCAAGACGAGTTT